ACTCAAACAGATCCATACTTTGTACCCCCACCCCCGGTGCCACTTTGTATCATCCCCCCTTCCATTCCACATACCCCTTGATTCCACTTTGTCATCTATTTTAAGTAACCCACCCCTTAATATCACTTTTTACCATCTATTTCATTCTTGCTTTGTAACCCCCCCCCCCCCCCCCCCGTACCTCTCTGTACCATTTCTCCACTCCTTCCACATACCCCTGATTCCACTTTGTCATCTATTCTAAGTAACCCACCCCTTAATATAACTTTTTACCATCTTTGTTCCCCCTATTTTATCTATTCTATGTCGTGATCCTTTACCACTTTGTACCGTCTGTTTATTCATTCTTGTTCTGATATTTTTACATTAGTACCAGCGTCTCTTGAAAAATTTTTCCGTCATAATTAACGTGATGACATCTTAATTAGTTTTATTTTTTGAGTGATGACCTACACGACTCGATTAAGATGATTTTAACGGTCATATTTTTTAAGGATTGGCTTCTTGTTGACGCATTATGACAAGTATCAGACTTCTGGAAAGTATTGGGTTAACGGAAATTATTTCAGTTCACAAGAGACAACCATGTCCTTGAGATTAATAGTTAAAAGAAATACGATACATGCCTTAGATTTTAACCTGGTACAGTTCTCGACTAACTTGTATTAAAGAGAGTCAAAACAAATTTAAACTTTGTTTGTCTGAGAGTTGAGTGTATTGCGTCTTCAGGTCTTATTTGGTTGAAAGTGCGAGTCAATAATAAAATAAGGTACACCTCACCGCCCATAGCGCTTACTACTTTAGCGCGAGTAATCGGCGTACGCACCAGTTGGCACCGTTTTGCACCACAGGGCACCGATGTAAACAGAGATAAAATCCCCAGATGATTTGTTTCGTGACGTAACGGCACGTCATCCGCAGTTCTCTGGGGGAGAGGCGGACGGGTCAGGTGATTAGCTAATGAGTAATTACAGCCGTGATGTGACCGTAGATTGACGGCCCGTCTGTCACGCCGCTTGACCGTGGGACAACAGGTTAAGATCAGTCGTCACGTTTGGTCACGTCAAGTCTATTGTCACGTCTGGGGATCACGTCTCGAGGTCATATCTCGTGATCACGTTTAGGGGTCATATCTGGTACCGTTATCACGTCACGTATGACGGTCACGATTTGGGACCACATCACGTGATCATATTTAGGGTTCACATCTGATAGTTATATATCGTTGTCACGTCTGATGATCATGTTTAGGGGTGCATCTAGTAGTTAGGTATCGTTATCACATCTGAGGGTCACGTTGGGGATCACGTCTCGTGACCATGTTTAGGGGTCTTGTCTAGTAGTTGCGTGTCTTTGTCACGTGTGATGGTCACGCCCAAGGATAACATCTGATTGTCACGTCTAGTTACAACACTAGTCGACCCCGAGCAATCTATCAATACCAACCCTCTCGCCCATAATTAAGTCGTACACATACACGCACACAGAAATACTTCTACATACATTAAGCCTATACACACACACCCCACTCTAGCACCCCCTCCCACCAATACACCTCACTCTAGTACCCCCTCCCACATACATTGATCGCAGTGAATTCTTTGTTTTTTAACCATAACCATGATATTCTAGAATATTCTCTTCTCTGGGCAATCCACCAGAACGTCAATATCCATTATACGGAGCCGCCAGGATCTTCTTAGGGCGAGATATTATTCCATTATTCCCCTACGTCTAGCTGGTGTGTTTTCCGTAGCCGACTAGGGGTAAAAATTGAAATCCTCTCCCCCCCCCCCCCCTTTTGTTTAATCCCCATCGAGGGAGAGGTGGGGCGGGAGACGCTGGGTGGACGGGTGCCCCCTACAAACAGAGAAATCTTGACGATGACGTGTCAGTCGAGTGACCAGACTGAAAGAGAATGAACGTGTTTTATGAAGGTGAGTACTTAGTGCGGACACGACGCGAGCGATAATGATTTGGATGTTGTTTTTTTTTTTACTTTGATCAATAATAAACCCGAGTAAGGAATTCGTAAATGGGTCAGATTCGTGTTATGGTAAAAGGACAAAACTAAACTTCAAAGAAACTGGGATGTTAGGTTAATGTCGACTTAACCTTAACGGTCTAAAATTCTTGAGTACATATTAATCTTTAATTTGCTAATTACGTTAAGAGGATACCTTTTAAGTAAAGACATCAAACACTCAATGCTTTATGTGTAAAGTACTTAGGTTGTGAGTTGTTTGCATAAATTATCGTATAGTTGAGTCTTAGTTGATAGTAATTAATTATACCTTGAATTGAACTGTGGCAATTATTGTCATCGATTCTTTATTTTAATATTGGTATTAATGTAAATGAAACATTCATAAATGATGCATTAATCAGGGTGAAGTTTCGAAAACATCCAATTCTTGAAATTACTTAAAAATAATACTGTAGATTAGTTGCTTACCATATCTTGTGTCCGCTTTACGTTAACCGTTACTTTGTTTTAATTTGCATGCGAAATCAAACGAGAATTAATCTGAATAAAAAAAGAGTAAAGAACTGCTACTTTAGCTGGACTTCTGAATTATACCCCCCCCCCCCTACTTCCCCAGCCGAAACCTTTTGATTCCCTCTCTGCCCCCTTCCCCCACCCCCAAAACTTGCATAAATTTGCGGTGAAGACCTCTCTGGTATCGAGTTGATCTGTTTTGTGGTTAGGCACGATGGATTTTTTTTTATTGTTTTTCTAATAAAGCCCTTTGTAAATTGGCAGCCGTCCACGGTGCTTTAAAAAGTTGCACGTGTCAGTTCACAACGCTCTGTGTCCCCCCTTTCCTTCCCAGAGAAATGAAAAGTTATGAGCGCTCTTCTCACCCCCCCCCCCTCCATGTTGGCTGCTCGTTAACGGATGTGGTGATTCAATGTTTGACACCGCCAATGTCTTGCACAAGTCTTGTACCACGCGATACTGTCTTGTACCACGCGATACTGTATTGAACCACACGATACTGTCTTCTACAAGTCTTGTACAACGCGATAATGTCTTGTACCACGCGATACTGTATTGAACCACGCGATACTGTATTGAACCACACGATACTGTCTTCTACAAGTCTTGTACCCCACGATACTGTCTCCTACAAGTCCTATACCTCCCTGATACTGTCTAGTACCATTCTTGCTCTATTCAGCATCTGTCTTGTACGCCATACAAATCTTCAAACCTCTTGAGATCGTTGCCCGTCAATCGGTCTTGATCCCTCCCACAACTACACGTCTTTAAGACTTTGAATACGGTACCATTAGTTAACTAACCGCTTCAGGGGCTAAGAATTTCGGTGCCACTGAAGCCGCCAGTGACTGTGTACTCAGGCAAGCAGTGCGCGCAAGTCATAGAGCTCACCCATGAAAGTCCAGCGCTAATTGATTGTAAGCCGCGTCAATGCCTCTGACCGCTAGTTTCGACACAAGCTCGGTCGGGATTTCCCCGTGTGCTCTCGAGTAAAATCTCATTAGGGTTCGAGATTTCGGGCTTCTAATTATAACCGCTGGGATATGGATAATAGAACTGGAGCGATTTTTCTTGTACAGCAGGTAAACCAATTGAAAATATACATATTTAGAACCGTAATTTTTGCTATGTAATATAAAACCATGATATAAAACTTAGAAGATAAGTTCTCTTATAGTCGTGTTGATACTTGTATTAAGTCACTGGGTTATCACTACAGAGATATCGACAGAAAACAAAAAAAAACTGAGATGGATTCAGTTTTTGTTCTGTTTTGTTTTGCCTTCTATTATTACAGTGATAATTGTGATTATTGTATATATAGAAATTGTCTGTTCATCATAAACATGGTTAGCGCGAAAATAGCATAGGGACTAATGAAAACTGGTACAGTTGTGTGGTTACTGCCCTTGTAGTTCTCGTTAGAGTAATCTCCCCTTGGACGAAAAAGACTGGGAATTTTTTTTTATTTGAGGAATGACTGCTTGACACAAGTTACTATCCCGCGTGAGTATCGGCCTCGGCTTTACAACAACCATCCCGGTGTCCTGCACCATTGACGCGAGATGGGCCAATTAAAATGCATGGCATGTCGAAGGGGGGTCTAACACCGATGGTGTGAGGACCCCCGGGCCAGCAGACTAGGAGATAAGTGCGGCCTCATCTTGTGGGTTCCCGCCTTGTTTTATGGCCCGACCCCAGCCCGTGAAACGACGGGGGTAGCACACCACAATGACTTCATTCTCCCTCCCCGGGATTAGTGGAGCCCCGGCCAGAGTTACCCGTGGACGAGCGTTATAGTTCGGGTGACGTTGTTAGTCAGAGGGGAATCTTTGAGTGTTATCTTTAACGATTTTCTTTTTTTTTTTACCCCTCGTTCTCCTCCTCGTGGCCTCGCTCGCACGAGCATGGGAAGAAGTGATCTGATCAATCGCATCTGTGTATATTGAATCGGAGTTGTTTTCAACAAGGTTGGCTGGAAGCTGGGATTTCTCACTAGCGGGCTTCGGGTTTCTCCGATGTGTGCTTGGTGTTTGTGTTATTTTAGTGTTTTCGGATTTCCCCGTTTATTCTCTGTGTTACTGAAAGAATGTTTTGATGTCTTTTTTTTTTTGGACTGGAGTTTGAATTCATATCTGGAACTGTGTGGCCTTGAGGTAGCGCGCTCAACTACTTACCTGAAAAATCACCCAGCTCTTTTGGGTGCCTGAATCACATCAAAGAAAGCAAATGTGCTGTCTACACTATTGCTTCACACGTCGTGGTCAAGAAAGAGATTAACTCTACTTGACTGTCAGTTCCGAAAGGATACTATTTTTTACTTTTTTGCTTTTAAATACCACGTTATTTGAAGATTGGAGTTCATTAAATAACCAAATCACCTTTTCGGTTGTCAGGTGTTCTCTTTAATCATACATAGCCCATTATACACCCATAACTTCACATATGTAACTGCTTAGTGTATATCTGATTTATTGTTTTTTTTTTCTATTTCCAGATCAAATGATGGTTTCTTAGCCTCCAACAATGGCAGCACCTAGCAAAACAGAAATCTGCATATGGCCCCCTCTGCACGTGCGTGCTGTGCACGTTCTTGGGGTGCTGCTCCTGCTCACCTTGACCCAGCCCAGCACCGCCGGGAACGTGCCCGAGAGAGACGTCAGCCTGTATCAGACTGTTGAGTTCCCCAACCCCCAGCCCGGGTCCAACTTCACGCGAATGGCGGTCGACCCCACCTCCTATGATGTGTACATCGGCGCCTCGGATTATATTTACTGGTGCGTATTGACATAATTTACACATTTTCAAGAATTACTTTTTTTTAAAACAAATATTGTAGTGAAAAATATAAGCTAGATAAGCACGAATCTGAACATAACGATTGGCAGGCAACTTCAAGTGAGGGTACATGTTTCTATGTTCTGAAAGATTTCGGCGAACACAATTTCAGCCTATTTATTTTACCTGACTAAGGTATGACCATGAAAGTCTATAGTATGACAGTGAAATTTTTTACTGTTTCGGTGGCTCACAGTTAAAGGCGTAACGTTTGAATACTGAAGGCCAGCCTTTCTTGTGAGCGTGTTCAGGCCAGCTTTTCTTGTGAGTTCTGGCCAGCCTTTCGTGTGTGTTCTGGCCAGCCTTTCGTGTGTGTTCTGGCCAACGTTTCGTGTTCTGTGTGAGTTCTGGCCAGCCTTTGAGTTCTGGCCAGCCTTTCATGTGAGTTCTGGCCAGCCTTTCATGTTCTGTGTGAGTTCTGGCCAACTTTTCGTGTGAGTTCTGGCCAACTTTTCGTGTTAGTTCTGGCCAGCCTTTCATGTTCTGTGTGAGTTCTGGCCAACTTTTCGTGTGAGTTCTGGCCAACTTTTCGTGTGAGTTCTAGCCAGCCTTTCATGTTCTGTGTGAGTTCTGGCCAACTTTTCGTGTGAGTTCTGGCCAGCCTTTCATGTGAGTTCTGGCCAGCCTTTCATGTGAGTTCTGGCCAGCCTTTCATGTGAGTTCTGGCCAGCCTTTCGTGTTCTGTGTGAGTTCTGGCCAGCCTTTCGTGTGAGTTCTGGCCAGCCTTTCGTGTGAGTTCTGGCCAGCCTTTCATGTTCTGTGTGAGTTCTGGCCAGCCTTTCGTGTGAGTTCTGGCCAGCCTATTATGTCCTGTGTGAGTTCTGGCCAGCCTTTCGTGTGAGTTCTGGCCAGCCTATTATGTCCTGTGTGAGTTCTGGCCAGCCTTTCGTGTGAGTTCTGGCCAACTTTTCGTGTGAGTTCTGGCCAGCCTTTCGTGTGAGTTCTGGCCAGCCTATTATGTCCTGTGTGAGTTCTGGCCAGCCTTTTGTGTGAGTTCTGGCCAGCCTTTTGTGTGAGTTCTGGCCAGCCTTTTGTGTGAGTTCTGGCCAGCCTTTCATGTTCTGTGTGAGTTCTGGCCAGCCTTTCATGTTCTGTGTGAGTTCTGGCCAGCCTTTCATGTTCTGTGTGAGTTCTGGCCAGCCTTTCGTGTGAGTTCTGGCCAGCCTTTCGTGTGAGTTCTGGCCAGCCTTTCGTGTGAGTTCTGGCCAGCCTATTATGTCCTGTGTGAGTTCTGGCCAGCCTTTTGTGTGAGTTCTGGCCAGCCTTTCATGTCCTGTGTGAGTTCTGGCCAGCCTTTTGTGTGAGTTCTGGCCAGCCTTTTGTGTGAGTTCTGGCCAGCCTTTTGTGTGAGTTCTGGCCAGCCTTTTGTGTGAGTTCTGGCCAGCCTTTCATGTTCTGTGTGAGTTCTGGCCAGCCTTTTGTGTGAGTTCTGGCCAGCCTTTTGTGTGAGTTCTGGCCAGCCTTTTGTGTGAGTTCTGGCCAGCCTTTTGTGTGAGTTCTGGCCAGCCTTTCATGTCCTGTGTGAGTTCTGGCCAGCCTTTTGTGTGAGTTCTGGCCAGCATTTCGTGTGAGTTCTGGCCAGCCTTTGAGTTCTGGCCAGCCTTTCGTGTGAGTTCTGGCCAGCCTTTCGTGTTCTGTGTGAGTTCTGGCCAGCCTTTTGTGTGAGTTCTGGCCAGCCTTTTGTGTGAGTTCTGGCCAGCCTTTTGTGTGAGTTCTGGCCAGCCTTTTGTGTGAGTTCTGGCCAGCCTTTCATGTTCTGTGTGAGTTCTGGCCAGCCCTTCATGTTCTGTGTGAGTTCTGGCCAGCCTTTGGTGTGAGTTCTGACCAGCTTCTCCGCTTGCTGCAATAACAACTGACATTGGTGGAATAATAAATCGTCGGGTTTCTGCCATCACCGACGCCGGCTTAACCGTCGCGGGTTCATTTCTCTGGTACTGTATGGCGGCCGTTATTTTTCGTGATGTTTACCCAATCAGGGCGTCAGGGGTGGGGGAGGTTGGGCGAACTGTCTTCTGCTTACAATACCCGGCTCGTTTTTATTTAACTGTTAATTAATTGCTAACAGGACAGTAGTGTCATTGAGGGAGGGGGGAGAGTGGCATGTCACGCTTTGATAAATGACCAGCACTTTGGTGGTGGAGGGCTTTTAATAGTGTAGGGGTTAGTGGCCGGTGGATATTCTGGTGCAGGAATTAGTGGCTGGTGGGTGTAATGTGGGTGGAGGTAGGCCTATATCCGTCGGTAATGAAGATCCTACTATGAAAGCGAGGACATCCTCTATTGTGAATGTCACAGATTGTGCGTGGTTAAATTTCGTGCCTTAACTCGTCTTCTGTCGTCGACAATAAGAGTGGTTATACTTTTCCTTTAAAGGGATCGGGTGACTATTGGTTCAGCTTTAAGCGTAGCGTTCAATTTGGCACAACAGGAAACTTAAGTTTTTCTTCGAATCTGGACGCAATGGGTTTCTTTGGGTAGGGGTGTTAGCTAGGCGGATATTGTGTAGGGACGAACAGCGTATTAGCTAGGCGGACATTTAGTAGTGACGAACAGCGTGTTAGCTAGGCGGACATTTTGTAGGTACGAACAGCGTGTTAGCTAGGCGAAGACTTTTGATGGACGACAAAGGTTTAGCTAGGCGGACATAATCTTGGGACATTTTGAGTGTTGACTAGGCGGGCATTTTCGAGGGACGGAAGTTGCAGCTAAGCGGACATTTTCAAGGGACGAAATGAAGGGACAGTCAAATTAAAACACTAGTAAGATTATAGCTCCGGATCGGTTCCAGATATTGACATGAATACTCTCACCTGATACACCGTGGACAGTGCGCAACGCGAACGGCGGAAATCGTTTAGCGCAAACCGCGTCTTGCAAAGAGCGCAGCGCTGCTTTTAGCCAATGGTTAAAATCCATTAAACATTGTGCCTGTCGACCCGGGGTTGATGAACGGCCCGTGGCTCATCAAATTCTCGTCTGGAACCCAGCCCCTCCCCCCCCCCCCACCGTCTGACATTAACCTGCTATTAAGGGTGTCCTGTTTGTAGCATACGGTACCCCCCCCCCACTCCTCCACTGCACCCCCTACCCCTTTAACGCCTACTCCTCCCCCCCCCCCCCCCCAATCAGTCTCTGCACTTGAGCCCCTTTGCTTTGAGGCCGCACTAACTCTGGCGTCATTAACAGACGCGGTCCGCAGATGTAGATGGAGCGACATGGGACACCATTCAATTCTCGGCCGGTTTTTTTTTCTCGCAGGGACGCAACTCTGGTTGTTTGTGACGCACGACTTGGCCGCCTTCATATAGAAAACAGCTGATGTTGGCAAAATACGATGGCTGAATAAAAAAAAAAATTATACTTATTTTTTAAAAGGAAGAAATTTTAAATAAATCCTGTAATAGTATGGCCAGTAAAACTGCCTATGCAAAAGGCCCATTTGATAGTTCAGATGGCTATAGTTGAATTTTATAGAAACGGTCCATCTGATAGTTGAGATGGCTATAGGTAACATAGCTATAGCTGTGACTGATATTTTACCAGCTGTAGCTGTGACTGATATTTTACCAGCTATAGCTGTGACTGATCTTTTACCAGCTGTAGCTGGGACTGATCTTTTACCAGCTGTAGTTGGGACTGATCTTTTATCAGCTATAGCTGTGACTGATATTTTACCAGCTATAGCTGTGACTGATATTTTACCAGCTGTAGCCGTGACTGATATTTTACCAGCCGTAGCTGGGACTGATCTTTTACCAGCTGTAGCCGTGACTGATATTTTACCAGCAGTAGTTGGGGCTGTCTGTTCATCTTCCCCCGGCAACCCTCCACCCGTTTATAGGTGGTGATGGATGCTAGAATCCTGTCATATCCAGTCGGGAAACTCATTTGTAATGCGATAATATGATAAGACTGGTCAGGTCTAATAGTCTTTCCCCTGCCCACATATTCAAGTTCGCATAAATACTCACACCGTGTACAGAGGACGAGGAGGGGCGGATGGGGGTGGGGGTAGCGTTTTTGTTTTGACACATTAATCAGATTTACTGGCCTTGATTGTGACAGTCGTGTGTTTTTATTTATTTGATTCACATTGCGCTTTATGAAATGGAACATTAAATACAATCTTCTGTCATGTTTGATTCCTATTGTGGAGAAGGCCGTATTCTAAATCAGGGGTCTCCAAACTTTTCAGTCCGAGGGCCGCATTAACTATCAAATTTCACTTCGAGGGCCAGTTTCTTCTAGGCATGTCTTTGATTTTTCTGGACAAAGTTCCTCAGCCATCACCAACAAACGTTTTTTCCGTGGACAAAAAGATCTCCGCGGGCCGGATGAGAGGACATCGCGGGCCGCATCCGGCCCGCGGGCCGTAGTTTGGAGACCCCTGTTCTAAATAAATGTGGGTGTAGGCTGTCGTGTGGGAAATATTCGCGTAGGCAATGACTCTCCAGTACTAAACCTACACTCGGGTACTGAAAGGCCGACAACATTCGCGAACTAAAGACATCCCTTGTCTCTGTTAGATCTATTGGGTTTTTTTTTTAACCTCCTGTCTTGGTCACTTACTTGGTACAGTGGTTGGCTGCTAGCCCGAAGGTCGCGAGTTCGGTTCACGGTTCGGACTCGTGACTGCAGGACGTCCCTGAGTTCACCCAGCTGTGATGAGTACCTGGCTTACGTTAGGGAAAGTAAAGGCGGGTGGGCATAGTGCTGACCATATCCCTTCATTTGCCGAGGTCAAGAAGCATGAACTCTACTTCGACTGGCCAATGGATCGTTAGACCTAAAGAGGAATTTTACTACTTTTACTTGGTCAAGCACATAACGCAATAATAGCTGAACTCGAGTTTTTTGATAAATCTATTAATTGTGTTTTAAATGTACGTTCGTATTGCGATATTTGTGATCATGAGTGTCCTTTTCTCTTCCAGCTTGAGCGGTAACCTGACGCGTAAGTTGGTGGTCAAGACTGGACCATTGAATGACGATACCTGTCAACAATCTGGAGCGTCCAACTGCGCGGGGGAGAAGGTCAGCAATGTCAACACGGTTCTTCTTATCGACGAGAGCGCCAACGAGCTCATCGTCTGCGGCACGGGCCGGCACGGCTCCTGCGAGAAGCGCAACCTCAACAACATCACCATCCTCACCAACGCCAACGCCAGCGACATCGTCAGCGCCAACCCTCGGTCTTCCGTCGTCGCCTTCCTAGCCCCGGGCCCCCCAGAAACCCGAACGGCGCCGCAGAAAACGGCGATGTACGTTGCCGTCTCATGGTCCGTGGAGTCGGACGGGGTCCCGGCGGTGGCGACCAGAAAGCTGACAGACTTTGGTCTGGTCTTTCATTCGAAAACAGACTTCTACAACAGCGAGTTCCATTTCGAAGATATGAGCAAACGGCAGTTCCCGGTGAACTACATCTACGGCTTCAGCTCTGAGAATTTTAGCTACATCCTCATGGTGCAGAAGAACGGCGTCGAGGCCAGTCGGGACCGACACTCGGTGGCTATTCGACTGTGCCATAGGGACCAAAAATACTACTCGTACACTGAGGTGGCGTTCAAATGCATGCACGAGGGCACACACTACAATCTCCTGCAGGCAGCTTACCGAGGAACTGCTGGTCGGAAACTGGCCCAGTCGTTAGGGGGTGACACGACCCAAGAGGTGTTGTACGGTATCTTCGCCAACAAGACCACCAATAAAGTAGCCTTGTGCGTGTATAAGATGCAGCATATCCGCGAGTTTTTCCATAAGAATATCAAAAAGTGCTTTGAAGGGAATGGTCATTCTGGAGGCGCCCATTTAGGCCCACAGTCGCAGTGTGAGAAAGCCACGGTGAGTAAACGATGTTTTGCTTTTGCTGGCTTATAATTGTTGTTGGTTTTTCAGGTATAAATAATTAAACCCATATCACGCTTTGGTAAGCCTCAGAAATGTCTGCTGACTTCAATGCCATCAGAAACAGATCCTAGAGCAATATTAAGATAATACAGGGGCTAAGACAACGCTAAAAAGATCTTTGCTTGCTTCGTTCATCTATCTGAAACAGTACCCAAGTTATAGGCTTTTGAAAAATTAAAAGTAGAATATATACACTTCCGGTTACCGGAAATCGCTGAAAAATTGACACAGAACTTCAAATTTGATATAATACTTAGATATGAAATTTCATCAACCAAGCTGTAACGATACTCCAGTTATCGTGTTTACAGACACACATACATACACACACGGACAGAATTGCAAAGTCCAGTTTTTCCGATTCGAAAGCGTGGGTCACTATTCTATCTATTGGATACCTTTACTAATATCAGGGGTGCCACTTTTCCGGGATATCCCGGATTTCCGGATTCGAGAATCATATTTTTTCCCCTTTCCGGATTCGCAAGATTTGAGTTTGAAAATTTCCGGGTTTGCAGTTTAAAAAAAATTTTAGATCGTTTTAAGCTTTGAAAATTTTGGCATTGTAAAAATTGTTTTTATCATCAACACTCCCGCTAATAGCCTTTTCCGAAAAAAATGAATAGTAAATGACGTCAGCAACAATCTCACGCGTGCGCCAAGGACCAAATAATAATCAGCTGTATCAGATGGGTGAGGCTGTAGACGAAACTTTTTGATGTCATTCGTGGTGTGGCTGTCTGGCTATTTTTTATGACTATATGGGTTGAGGGTAAAACTCGTATTACTTACGTGATGTCATCAATGGGATACCGCTAGGCTGTGTAATAAAAACAACTAAAGCCTACAAGTACTAGATCAAGCTCACTAGCATCGCCGATGGTCTTTAAAAAAAAAAAGATTTTGCTCCGATAAAATTTTTTATATTTTTTTTGTATTTGGTATTACAAAACGAAAAGAAAAAATCTATCTGGAGGACTATTTTATGTATGAAATAGAACTGTGCTGTTTTCACTCAACTTTACCGTCACTTTTTACCACCTCTTACCCGCTTCTTCAAGGTCGCGCTGACCGTAAGACCTACGTCACGAGGACACGCAAACACAGTCTGAGTCGTGTCTCTCGGTCAAGGCAGTTCTACAAGTACAAGCGCTGTTTAATTTTAACGTGGTTATTTTTAATAAGGGCCTACTTCTAGATTCAAGGAAAAAAAACTAGAACTGCATCGTTTTACATCATTAAACAAAATATGTAGGCCTGCTATAATTTAGTTACACAATCTAGCAGGGTCTACATCTAATTGTTTTTTTTTTACTTTGGTAAAACGTCATTGAAATGTTTAAAAAATCTTGAAGTACCGTGTCTGAGAAAATAGCCGCTATCACTGCCCCTCCAAACCGCTTGTAAAAAAAAAAAATCCGCTTTTCACTTAGTCGGGCGGCTATATCTCTGACATGAGTATTACTAGCGTAGTTACTTCTAAAATTATTTTTAAAATTAACTTAATTCTGTTATTCCGCGATATGGACTTAAAACTTCCACGATATTTCTTCACGTCATCATGTATATCAATGGTGGGGGCATTGGGGTCGTTCATAAATGACGTCACACTCGTAGGGGGAGGGGGGTCCGTAATTTTGTCATCAGGGGGAGGGATTCAGATGGTGTGACATCACACTTTTGCATTATCCAAAAGCTATGTTAGAAAACGAATTTTAGCCGTTATTTCGCGTTTAAGAATATTGTTTCAATAAAGTGTAATAGGAATTGATTAAAGTACTCTATGTTGACAGAGGTCAGACAAGATTTTTGGAAAAATATCGTATTTTAAGAAAAATTCGACTTCAATTTTTAGGGGGGGGGGGGGGAGGGTGTAGGCTGAGGCGTGACGTCATTTTAGAGGGTGGGGTCTGGCTTTTTGTGACGATATTTGACCGAGGGGAAGTGGGAGGTAAAAATCGTCAAAAAAGCGTGACATCATTTATGGATGACCCCATTGGTGTTGATTGGGAAAACAGGGTTTAAGGTTTTTGTTGTGGCTGTTTATAATTAAAGCCTTGAATAGCTACAGTAAGTCAACCCTGTATTTTAATACAGTGACAATCTTATTAGGGGTCTGCATATAGTGGGCTTATTATTCAATAACAAGACATAGAGGTTAGCAAAATATTTGTTACTTAACAGTTGGCTGACTACACACTTTAACTCAAGCTAGGAAGTTCTAAAAAATTAAATAGTTATGTTATAAAAGCTGGCTGGGGGGGGGGAGTTCTACAATAGCACATTATGGGGTAGGCCTAGAGATGGGATTAACATTGTAAACTAATTTTGTTGTAAGCACAATCCTTTAAAGATTATTTTTTATTTGAAGCTTGTTACAAAGAAAATAAATCCATTTTAAAGGAATGTAAATTGAACATAATATGAATCAAATGTCTCAAAAATAATGAAATAATAGTCCATTTTATTTTGAAGTTCCGCGCGGAATTAAGTTTCAGGGTTTCAAAAATTTCAAATTTTAGTTTCAGGATTGGTAAAATTTTGGGATTCATTTTCAGGATTCACTTAAAAAATGAGTGGCACCCCTGTAATATTGAGAAGAGACCCACGCTTTTCTTAATAGTTATTTAAATAGTAGTGAATAATTGTCCTCTACCACATTGCTATTTTGATTATCTCCCTGTTTCAGTTTGATATTCCCATTGACTTTTGCCCCGAGAAGTATGAGGATGAAAAAATCAACCTCACGGCCGCAAGTAGCTTTTACGGCATCAACCCGTTTATTTCTGGTACCATCCCAATGACTAACGAAGCCACTATGGTCATCAGCGATGTTAATGATCTTGTGACGTCACTTTTTGTTGACACCATTGATGATTATACCATCGCGTATGTGGGTGATAGCCGTGGACTAGTTCTGAAGGTAAAAAATTCAATCCGTCTTTGACAGTTTTGGTGTTTCTTTTACATTTTTAAAATTCTTTTGTGTGTGTGTACAATGTATTATATATATATATATATATATATATATATATATATATATATATATATATATATATATATATATATATATATATAATATGTAGGCCTATATAATTTACATAATTCTATATTTGCCTTTAAAGATACTGTTTTTGACGCGTTCTTTAAATGCCGTCTTCAACAAGGTGTCAATCAGCTGTTTACCTTTCTCTCAGATCTCTATCGACAACAAGACCTACGGCCACGCCTACGAGAAGGTCAGGGTGGCCAGAAACCTGCCCATCCTCAGGGACATGTCCGTGGACGACCGCGACAAGGAGAAGCATTTGTTTGTCATGACCCCATACAAGGTGAGTGACCACTGGCCTGGGGATAACAGTCTTTGATTTATGCTTACACTGACCGTTAGTCCCGCTGACCGTTGATTGATTCCACCCACTGACCGATGCTTACACTGACCGTTAGTCACACTGACCGTTGATTGATCCCACTGACCGTTAGTCCCACTGACCGTTGGTCCCACTGACCGTTGGTCCCACTGACCGTTAGTCCCACTGACCGTTAGTCCCACTGGCCTGGGGATAACAGTCTTTGATTTATGCTTACACTGACCGTTAGTCACACTGACCGTTGATTGATCTTACTGACCGTTGATTGATCCCACTGACCGTTGGTCCCACTGACCGTTGGTCCCACTGACCGTTAGTCCCACTGACCGTTAGTCCCACTGGCCTAGGGATAACAGTCTTTCATTTATGCTTACACTGACCGTTAGTCACACTGACCGTTGATTATTCCCACTGACCGTTGATTATTCCCACTGACCGTTGATTGATCCTACTGACCGTTAGTCCCACTGACCGTTGATAGATCCCACTGACCGTTGATAGATCCCACTGACCGTTAGTCCCACGGACCGTTGATTGATCCCACTGACCGTTGATAGATCCCACTGACCGTTGATTGGTCCCGCTGACCATTGATTGATCCCACTGACCAATGTTTCCACTGACATCTACTCTTTTGTTTAACACACTCCTCACTGTCTTCTGTCCCAAACCTCCAACTCCAGTCATTCTCTCTCCCCCCCCCCCCCTCACCCCGTCCAGCCGTCGTAGTCCAACAATTTGACTTTTGACTGGACTGTCAAGACAGTCCAACAGCTTGACCTTCTCTGGACTGCCCTGTTGTATAACAAGAATCATCTCGAGAATTCTTTGACCTTCATGCCTTTTAATATCGATCAGGTTAAATGTTATCACTAATAAATGTAAAATTAATTTGAATGTTTGATTGAAATGGGTGCGGGGCTTTATATTTTAATTTTTTTAGAAAAATCTCTTTTCACATTTTAATGTCAAAGTTTATCCAATATTTTTAAATGCCTACATAAATTCCTAATGCATCTTCCGTGTACGTACTCTGTCAAAGAACAGGTTTTACACTTAGTAACAACTATTTGACAGATGGCTTTAGGTGTCTTTTAATAAAGTCAAGGCGTTTGTTCTAACACTATGGCCGGGATTGAGTGGGTGTAAATATGAATGGGGTCCTAAAAATTGATTTTGTGTGTTTTGACTGTTTTTTTTTTAATCATTAACTCAGCGTCGGCACCAACATTCCTTCTAGTGGGCAAAAGTATATAGTCTAGAAATAGATTTTGTAGTCACGGTACTATAAAACGATTTATACAAGGATTTAAAGCATTTGACAAAATGACCGCGCGGCATATTTATAACTACTGCTCGCCATAGAGGTACGGTTGTTCTTTATGCTAATGGACATGAAGACCAAATCAGGATTTGTCATTTCGTTTCTAGTTCCACTTCAAATTTTTTATTTCTCCCTTCCTCGCTTCTCTTGTAACAACAGTCAAGCCAACGTGGAAAATGGATCTCCAAATTTTTTTTCTGATGGGTGAAGGGGTTCCTGTTTTACTTCCCCTGTTGTAAATTGCTCAGATAGTTTACTGCCTTTAGGACACACTTTGTTTTGCTCTGAAACTATTTGCATTCACAGCGCCAAACTTGATTCAAGCAAAACAAAATGTTTTTTTTTTGTAGCGATTAAATCATCACTATGCCGCGTTTCTAAAGAAGTGAATTGGAATCGATTTTCTTTCCTAATGCATGTTTTAAGAAGTATTTATAGAAGAACCGCTACGTCAACTTTTAAAACTCTAAACAAATTATAACGTGTATGCGTTGTGTTAATGAAGAAAGAGTTTCTCCTTTTGGAAGACCCGCATGGTGCTTCATTGCGGCTGACGTGCCAAAGATGCGTCAGAATTTCCATTTTTGTTTTGGTTTTTGACGTTTTCCAAAGATTTATTTTAGGTTTGAACGTTGACAGATTTAGCCCAGTGTATGTCTTTGAATAAGGTTATTATCTTAAGAGCATTAGATCTGAGTTGTTAGTTGTTTTTTCTCCAACTTTGTCCAGCCCTTAGCGTACTTGACTTTCAATCTAAGTCGTTTAGTATTATTATTATTATTATTATTATTATTATTATTATTATTATTATTATTATTATTATTATTATTATTATTATTATTATTATTACTATTATTATTATTATTATTATTTCCACTGTAGTAGTAAAATCTTGACACGGGCATTGTTGGGATATCACTCGTGGATAAAATATTACCTGAACACGTTATTTTTAACAGATCTCTCGTTTATAATGGATACATGCTATCGTATATGAGTAATGTATTATTGTCCAATGCGAACAACAAATAAATTATTTTCCTGATAGTTTATGTACAGCTATTCAAACTAATTTTCATTTTAATTACTTTCAAGTATTCCTAATACCCCATTGTCAGTCTACACAGCTAATCCCCATATATCTACCAATGATCCATATGTTACTGTTTACATATAGACATGCTAATTACTCTTGCCTTTTGTCAATTTTTTTATTCCACTGATGATCTTACTTAATCCCACAACTTTTCCTTGTTTAGATGTTCGTAACATCCAACACATCGCAATCCCCCAATGACCTTATAAACCTCCCCATTCCCCAGCTGTCAAAACATCACAATCCCCAATGACCTTATAAACCTCCCCATTCCCCAAAACATCACAATCCCCAAATGACCTTATAAACCTCCCCATTCCCCAGCTGTCAAACATCACAATCCCCAAATGACCTTATAAACCTCCCCATTCCCCAGCTGTCAAACATCACAATCCCCAAATGACCTTATAAATCTCCCCTATTCCCCAGCCGTCGAAATTTCCCGATACTTACACAAGCGTTGCCATGACAACGTGGAGATTTGCTACCCACCGTCCGCCAACAATTCGATTCAAACACTTACCCAGCCCTTCAGGTCATCCCCCCCCCCACCTCACACCTAAACCCCGACCCCCCTCGAGCCAATCTCCCGACGATAGCATCTCCCCTGGATTACTTTAGACAGATTCGTTACGCCGGGGTAGTTCCTTCTCACCAAACACCAAGAAGTCATCTTGAGTTTCTTATTTCAAACAGTACGATAAGCTCTACTCTCTCTGACTATCGGAATGGGTAGGGTGGGGTGGGGTGTGATGAGAATAGTATTTATTTCACTTATCTCCTCCTGTTCCGTCCCCGTCCCCACCAGTCCGTCCCACCCCCGCCCCTTTGAGTTTGTCCCATCTCGTTTAATCAGACGACCCCCTTTGCCCGTGTAGACGTTATGATGCTCAAATATTTGCTGGTGATTTGGATCGTTGCCCGCTTCTCTATTGGGAACTTTGACCTTATTTTATAGAGAGAGGCTGATAAAAGTCATCGCTGCCTTACCTGCTTAACTGTCCTGTCATTCATACGGGAGGGAGGGGGGGGGATTCAAAAGAACGTTGTTTTGGAGAGGGTAGCTGCACCCCCGGGCTGGTTGTTTGGGTTAGGGTCGGGGTTAGGGTTAGGAGATAGTTTGTAGAACTAATTCTACACTTTGTCACCTCTCCTCTTTGGCATTCTATTTATTGTCTAGATATAGAATAAAAATATGATTTATTTAGCATTTTTTTCGGCCAAATTTAGGCATGATATAGCTGAGATTGTATCCTGTATCATGAATAATTTCTAGACAGGGGAGGGGGAAAAATTGGCGGACGGGTACGGAGGTGTAATTTATTTCTAGACCCCCGGTACTTAGAGCTGGTTTGTTTTGACACGTAATGCTTGTGAGTACTAAATTGTAATTTCTTTCCTTCTCGTTTAGTCGTAATTCAGACCAGCTCAGCACTAGATATAAATAGCCACGATGGTTAGAATTTGGGTTAACGGTCAGAGCTAAGACTGATTCGATCTTTAGGGTGCCGTTATCTTTCGATTGGATATTTTTATCAACAATTCTTCTTCCTTCCAGAATATTATTTATGTTTTTTTTTCTCTGAAATTTAACATAGAGTTACCGTATTTATTTTCTTGCCCGTAAACAATGATAAATTATTTTAAGCAAAGTCTTTTTAAATCCCCGCAAACACTCTAAAAATTTACATGAAAATAATATTAACATTCATCTGAATTATCGTTGAGTCACACCCCAATTTGTAATCTCATTAATGCCGTGGTATTTTTTTTTTCCTCCTACGATTTCTCCCCCCACCCCCCCCCCCCCACCCCCAACCCTCAAGAATTTGTGCCCGTTCTTTCCTGTCCCTTAACACCAGTATAACGACGGACTGGGAGAATTGTTGCATATGAATTAATATCTTTCTCAGGCTGCTTATACATTCATAGCGATGAGTAACCAGACCTTTTGGAAGATCTCTTCCCCCCCCCCACCCCTCGCTTACCCGGCCCCCTACATTAAATGCCTCACGATTCCCATGCGTCATAGAGTCCATTTTTCATGATAATTGCGGCTGTCAATCAGCAACATTCATTGCTGCACGCCGTCCGTTACTGTATGATTGAGAATACGGATCTTGTCTTCTGAGGTTGGTGCGCAAAATTTACGCGGTGCCTTTCAAAATTTTACGCGGTGCTGTCTTAGTTTATCAAAATTTATGCGGTGCCGTGAACATTTTTTTGCCGAATTTACGCGGCATTATGCTCGTCTGCGTTCAGTGACTGTTCTATTTATTCTCTAACGAGTTGCGCTCATTTGATTTAGACTTAGATTGACGTTGGTGTATTCTGTTAGGGGACACGTTTTATTTTATACTGATGGTGTGGGAGAGGGGATTGTACTGGGTCGAATACAGACTGCTGTATTTTAGTGTAGTTCATCGCACTCTTTCTTTTTTCAATCCATCTGAGATGAAACTCACCTTCAAAATATGTCAATCAACGTCAGTCCAAAAATTACTGATAATTTCATTTTAATTTTTTTTTCATTTCCCTTGT